AGCACCCTCGGCCTCATCATCATCATCATCATCATCATCATCATCATCATCATCATCATCATCATCAACATAATCATCATCATCAGCATCATCATCATCATCAGCAGCAGCATCATCATCATCAGCATCATCACCATCAGCGTCATCCTCCTCCTCCTCCTCCTCATCCTCCTCATTCTCCGCCTCCTCCTCCTCCTCATCATCATCATCATCACCCTCCTCTCCGCATCAACATCATCAGCATCATCATATCAAAAACAGCGTCGTCGTGCGCCCGTTACGTTCCATGACCAACAAAAACATCATCGCCACAACCGCCATCGCCTCAAATATCGACACCAACATCAGCATCATCGACATCATCATCAGCAGCACCAGCATCATCATCATCATCATCATGATCAGCATCATCAGCAACATCATCAACATCAACGACAGCAACATCAGCAACATCATCGTCATCATAATCATCATCACCATCACCAGCACCATCACCATCATCATCAACATCAGCATCATGATCAGCAGCATCATCAGCAGCATCATCACCATTTTCATCATCATCCTCATCCACAGTTTCGTCTTCACCATCATGATCACCACCATAGTTATCTTCGTCGTCGCCGTCGTTGGAGTCGTTACCATCAGCATCCGTCATGCCCTCCTCCCTCCTCCTCCTCGCCACTCCTCCTCCTCCTCCTCCTGCTCATCATTCTTCTCCTCCTCGTCCTCCTCCTTACGCAACAGAACGACGGCGAGAAGATCGAGAACAAGGACACACACGGACAATGACGTCCGCCTGCCCTTCCTACTCCTATTCCTCTTCCCTCGACCGACATTTCCGCGCCTCCTCCTTCCCTCCTTCCTCATCATCCCTCCTTCTCCTGCTGCTCCTCCTCCTCCTCCTCCTCCTCCTCCTCCTCCTCCTCCTCCTCCTCCTCCTCCTCCTCTTGAGTTGCTTTCCTCTCTCATCCCTCTCTTCCTCCTCCTCCTCCTCCTCCTCCTCCTCCTCCTCCTCCTTCACCTCCTCCTCCTCCTCCTCCTCTTCCTCCTCCTCCTCCTCGTCCTCTTCGGATCGGCACTGCAGACTCCTAAGATCAGGCACAACGAAAGGTACAAAACATAAGCTTCAACGACTGCCAGGCCACGCCTTGAGACCTGGGAGGAGCGTCCCTCCTCCTCCTCCTCCTCCTCCTCCTCCTCTCCTCCTCCTCCTCTCCTCCTCCTCCTCCTCCTCCTCCTCCCCGCTTCCTCCTTCTCCTGCCTCCCGTCACCCCTCTCCACCCGCCTCACCTCGCCAGCCTCGCCCCCTCCTCCGCCTCCTCCTCCTCCTCCTCCTCCCCTCCTCCTCATCATCATCATCATCATCATCATCATCATCATCATCATCATCATCATCATCATCAGCATCAGCATCATCATCATCATCATCATCATCATAATCATCATCATCATCATCATCATCATCATCATCATCATCATCATCTTCATCATCATCATCATCATCACCATCACCATCACCATCACCATCATCATCATCATCATCATCATCATCAGCATCATCATAATCATCTTCAGTAGCAGCAGCAGCAGCAGCAGCAGCAGCAGCAGCAGCAGCAGCAGCCTCCTCCTCGTCAACACGACGCACTCCCCACTCGTACATAAAACCCGTCCCGTCGCACCACGCGAGCGAGTCGGTCGGGCGAGCCGGGCGTTTCGCCCGAAACTTGCTGCACAAAAACCGAAACAGTTTCAAGGATGTGAGAGGGCGGCCCGTTTTAAAAATGCCGTGCATCCGTTCACGGGGCGGACCCGTCCAATGACTTGAGCAACGGAAGCGGGAACAGCTCCCTCCTCCTCCTCCTCCTCCTCCGCCTCCTCCTCCTCCTCCTCCTCCTCCTCCTCCTCCTCCTCCTCCTCCTCCTCCTTGGCGAGACCCAATCTGAAATTTGACGCGGGCTCCCGCTGCGGACATCCCACGAAAGCGGGACCGTCGAAATCCGTGACGCGCCTGTCAAAGAAAAGCCGGCAAACCCGAGCTCCAGCGCCGTGCACATTCATCCGAAAAGCTTGCGCCAGCTTCGAGGAGGGAGGGCGGCCCGTTTTCAAAAGTGTGGCTCTCGCCCGAGCGCCGCGCAGGTTCGTCTGAGAAGCCTGCACCGGCTTCGACTGGAGGGCGAACCGTTTTCAGAGTGCAGCTCTTGCCATAGCGCCACGCACACTCGTCGTAAACGTGTGCATCAGCTTTCAAAGATGGAGGGCGGTCCCCTGTCGAACAGTCACGCTGAGAACCCTCGGACGGGTATCTTCCAACGGGGCACTTCCCGCAATGAAGACAAAACCTCGCACGGACTCGTGAAGAGGGAACTTGGAGGAAGAGTTCACTGCAACATCGCTGATGCATCTTGGGCTTACGCTGGCCCTCCTCCTCCTCCTCCTCCTCCTCCTCCTTCTCCAACAGCTGGAGGAGCTGGCCCTCCTCCAGCGAGCCAGGCAGCGCTCTGAGAGGGCTCCACGCTCGACGGGCTCCGCGCACCCCGGGAGGGGCCGTGGCGAGGGACGTCCAGCTGCGAGACCCAGGGAGCCCGCGCGGCCCTCCGAGGGTGCAAGGCTTTGGAGTCCCGAAGCGGTGCGATGACGCTCCCCCTCCTCCTCCTCCTCCTCCTCCTCCTCCTCCTCCCTCCTCCTCCTCCTCCTCCTCCTCCTCCTCCTCCTCTCCTCCTCCTCCTTCTCCTCCTCCTCCTCCCTCTCCTCCTCTCCCTCCTCCTCCTCCTCTCCTCCCTTCTCCTCGTCCTCCTCCCCCTCCTCCTCCTCCCCCCCTCCTCCCTCCTGCTCCTGCTGCTGCTGCTGCTGCTGCTCCCTCCTCCTCCTCCTCCTCCTCCTCCTCCCTCCTCCTCCTCCTCCTCCTCCTCCTCCTCCTCCTCCTCCTCCTCCTCCTCCTCCTCGCACGGTTCGTCACCGCACGGTCTTGGGACCCTGGAGGCCCCTGTCGCCCGATGCGTCCTCGGAGAAAGACTCGAGTCCCAAAGCCGTGCGGTGACCCCGAAAACCCCCACCGACGCACCGCACGGGGTGGTCACCACACCGTTCGGGGGCCCCCGACGAAGGCGGGGACTTGTCCATACCCTCACCGCCCAGGGGATTTCGATCCTCGGGGGCCCTGGCGGGCGAGGCCGCCCCCCGTCGGAGTCGATGCTGATGGAGCAAGCCCCGCCTCGGAGAAGATGTGTGTGTCGCGGATGGGTACTCCAGATCTTTCAATCAGCACCCCCCCGTGCCAACCTGTCCGACGCCCCTTGCCCGCCCCCCCCCACGCTGCCCCAAACCCACCCCCTCTCGCTCCCCGACCTCCCCACGCCCCCCGGAGGACAGCGGTTTCCCACCCCCCACGCGATCCCCCCCCCACGCTTACTGAGAGACCTGGAGTATCGTGCTGCCGCAGATCCCCCGATGACGCCGTCCGTACTGCCCGCTCTACTGTTTGACGCTGCAGCTGTGCGCATGACCCCGATCGCGGCGGGCACCGCTCCGTGGCAGACCCATCGCCACCGGCAGCACACGCGCGCCAGCACGACAGCACACCGCTCGCCCTTTTGCTGCTCCTCCGTGCGCTCTCGTCCTCGGCTGCTCTGTCTGGCGTTAGGTCGGGCATGTCCTCCTACAAAGGGATTTTGGACGAAAAATTCAAAAAGAGTCCAAAAATGCTCAAACATAGTAAAGCAGAATCACCAACGCGTCTCCATACTATTTTTGACTAGCTTTGAATATTCCTCCTGTAGAGGGACAGGCCCGACTCAAGCTTAGATGTCCAGGGCCACGGCCGAACAGGGGCGGCCAACAACGCCTCAATGCTGCCACTGCTGTGGATCACGTTGACGAGGAAGTGCAGGAACGCGTTCAACGTACACCATACGACAATCCAGAACAAGGGATCGGAGAACGCCGAGAAGTTCTCGATGTCTGTGGGGCGGGTGACCCCGTCTCCCCTTGACCCGTGCGATAGAATGATACGGACCTGTCCGGAAGACCTCCCGAACATGTTCTGTGTTGTGCATCGCGCCGGCGAGCTTCGTCCGCCGCCACCACCTCTTCCCCATCCGAATCTCTCTGCTCAGCAGACCTCCATGTCTGGATCGAGCGCAGGCGAATGCTACACTCTCTCTCATCGTCAATGCTCAACGAAATCCTCGACTGACCGAAACGATACCAAAAACCGGATCTGGAACAAACGATGTTGCTGCACCTCGCAGAGAGGCGAGACGGAAGTTGCGGGGGGTCATACATATCGTCACCTTAACGTGCGTGCGCACCGACGTCAGCAGATCGCCAGCAACATTATCAGACACGGCAAGGATCCCCCTTCTGTGACGATAAAAAATGGCCCAGGCCCAGTCGGGTGCATGGACAGCTACCTGGAGAAGGCGAGGGAGGGACACAGGGAGACACGAGGGTGGACCAGGAGCGAGCTGATGATGAGAGTGAGGGTGAGGAGGAGGAAGAGGGGGGAGGCAGAGGAGGAGAGAACAGGGTGAGGGTTGGCAGGGGGGGACACGATGGAGGGAGCGAGCAGGAGAGGAAAGGGGCTCCTCCTCCTCCGTCTCCTTCTCCTCATCCTGCTCCTCCTCCTCCTCCTCCTCCTCCTCCTCCTCCTCCTCCTCCTCCTCCTCCTCCTCCTCCTCCTCCTCCTCCTCCTCCTCCCTCCTCCTACCCGCCCCTTAACATACGACGTCGCAGACGTCGCAGAAAGGGGGGGGAGCAAACCAACTTGCCCAAAAATGCGTCGTGAAAATCGAGAGAGCGTGATCCACCGCCGCTTCACTGTGGAAAATTCCCCCCCTCTTCCTCCGGAACCCGGGGTCCCCCCCCCTCCGAAAATCCCCCCCCCTGCTGGACCCCCCCCCCTCTTCCCCCGGCAAACCCCCACCCCCTCCCCCCCCCCCCCACCTCCCTCGAACAACTACTGGTTCGACTCCTCCCTCCTACCGGTTCGAAACCCCTCCCCCCCCCCTCCAGAAAACCAGAGGGGGGTCACCACCGGTTCGAATCCCTCCCCCCTCCTCCCGAAAACCAGGGTCACTACCGATTCGAACCCCCCCACCCCTCCCACCCTCCCTCGACAACCGGGTGGGTCCACTACCGGTTCGATCCCCCCCCACCCACCCCCCTCGAAAACCGGGGGGGTCACTACCGGTTCGAACCCCCCCACCCCACGCTCACCGCCAGCAAACGACTCCCGGTCCCTACCACCGTCCGCACCACATCCCCCACTGCTGTCCCCAGCACCACTGTCCTCACCACCACTGTCCCCACTGTTCCCACCACCGTCCCCACTGTCCCCACCAGTGCCCCCACCACTGTCGCACTGTCCCCACTGTCCCCACCACTGTTCCCACCACGGTTCCACTCTCCCCACTTTCTCCACGGCCCCAACCACTGCCCGACTATCCCCACTGTCCCCACTGACTCCTCCGCTGTCCCACTGAGCTGTCCCACTGTTCCCACCACTGTCCCCACTGTCCCCACCACTGTCCCCACTGCACCTCTGTCCCATTGTCCCACCGCCGTCCTCGCCACCGCCCTCACCACTGTCCCCACCACCACTGTACCCTCCACTGTCCCACTGTTTCCACCACATTCCCACTGTCCCCACACCACTGTCCCCACCACCACCGTCCCCACCACTGTCCCACTGTCCCCACTGTTCCCACCATTGTCCCCGCTGTCCCCACCAGTGCCCCCACCAGTGTCTCACTGTCCCCACTCTCCCCACCATTGTCCCACCACGGTCCCACTCTCCCCACTTTCCCCACGGTCCCCACCACTGTCCCCTGTCCCCACTGTACCCACCACTGTCCCACTGTCCCCGCCGCTGTCCCACTGTGCTGTCCCACCGTCCCCACTGTCCCCATCACTGTCCCACTGTCCCCACTGTCCCCACCACTTTCCCCACTGCACTAATTACGGTCCCACCACTGTCCCCACCACCGCCTTCACCACTGTCCCCACAACTACCACTACCGTTCCCACCCCTGTCCCACTGTCCCCACCACTGTCCCGCTGTCCCCTCACCACTGTCCCCACCACCACCGTCCCCACCACTGTCCGCACCACTGTCCCACTGTCCCCGCACCACTGTCCCCACCACCACCGTTCCCACCACTGTCCCAGCATCCCCACCATTGTCCAACTGTCCCAAGGATTGGGAATGGTTTGCCGGCGGCGAGGGGGCGGGGGGTGTTCGAACCGGTAGTGACCCTCCCCGGTTTTCAAGGGGGGGGGTTCGAACCGGCAGTGACCCCCCCCCGGTTTTCGAGGGGGGGGGTTCGAACCTGTAGTGACCCCTTGCCAATTTTCATGATGGACTGGGGGGGGGGGAGAGGTTCGAAGCCGGTAGTGACCCCCCCCCCGGGCTTTCGAGGGAGGGTGGGGGGTTGGGAACCCACAAAGACCCCCCCCCCCGGTGTTCCGCCAGCAGCAGTAGAGCACGCTCCTTCTGGAAATCCGAATGGATCTTCGGACCACTTTTTGTGGCAAGAGATCTCGCGAGCCAGACCTCGGCGGCGCGCCGCGAAGGCGAAGAGACAGGGGGTATACAGTCGGGGCGTTGACCTAAGGAACGATAAATAAGGAACGAGGCCCCTTTTTCCCATAAGTTAAACTCCGATGTTCCATGGAAATCCTGGGGAAAACCCAAGGAGCGCTGTAAAACAACTAAGGAACACGGAGCCCCTCCCAAACGCAAAGGGTTCCTTCTTCAGCGGCCCGACTGTAGACCTTCTCAGCAGGCGGCGGGGGGCTTCTCGGAAGCCCGTTTCGGCCTGCTGAAAAGAACTCTGATGTTGGAAGTAAGGGGGCCACGTGCGAACCCTGCCCCTACCCCCCACGATTTCTGCCGGGTAGGGTGGGGTTCACTTCGTTCGGGAGCTCCCGAGCGAAGTGAATCCTACCCTTCCCCCCCGGAAATCGTGGGGAGCAGGGGTAGGGTTCGCATGTGGTCTATAGAAAGTGTCTGAGAAGGCCCGTCCCCTGTGCCTTCCCCCATGGGCGAGCAGCCGAAGATCGCTTTGCGAGGGTGCCAGGGCCAGAAACCGACGAGCACGCCCGTCGATTGTGTTCAGGGTGCGAGGATCTGAGGATGCCCCCTCCCCCTCTCAGCGGGATCCTAGCAGCATCCCGTGCCGAAGCATCTGGTAGTACATGCGGTGCTGAAGGATCTGCCTCGACGACACGATCAGGGTCACGACCACGGCCAGGATTGGGAAGCATCGCACGTACGCCTCGCATATCGACGGAGGAGAAGGAGGAGCAGCAGCAGCAGCTGGATAAGGAGGACGATGAGGTGATGAAGACGACGACAAGGGCGCGGAGGACGAAGAGGATCAGGACGAAGAGGAGAAGATGATACTGAGGAGGGCGACGGGGACGGCGAGGGCCAACGCAGGCGAGGAAAGCAGGTGGACAGGGCGGCCGCAGACAAATGGCAAGCTCCCGAAATCCTGCGCACAAAAGCATGGCGATTTCTTGGGGGCGCATGTTTGATTCCGCAGGCCTTCCTTGTTTAGGGCGCTGCGCCCAAACTCCTTCCAGACGGATGCTTCGCGAGGGGCCCACTTCAGAACTCCAGCGAAATCGGCGCATCTGAAAATATGAATCCGTGACGAGGTCGGGCCCGAAGCAGGAGCGGTGCGCCGCAGGACGGGACTCGCCACAACCCCATGCTCACGTGCCCCTGCATCTGCGGAGGCGGCACTGCCAGAGCGGCACCCTAACCCCCTTCTGGGGCTAAGGAGGCCGCCCACTCCAAATGCAACTGTTCACGGACTTCCGGCCACAAAGGTATGCTGGTGACGGAACAGCACGGGACAGCGCAGGCGGTGGCGCCAGCACGCGGCCTCACTGCAAACCCTCAATCCCGTTAAGAACGGGCTCATCCCGCGGAACCCGATCACGACAAGGAAGCTCGCACTCTTCTCTCGCCACCCAACCACCCCCACTGGAAAGTGAAGAACACGGACGCGGCAAGACAAGAGAACACAAAAGAACCACCAAACCACCTTCCTTCGCCACCTTCCCAGTTCCCCTACTCCACTCCGACACTCCGAGAGGGGGGGGGGGGGGGGGGGGGCGAACGCCCAGCCAAAACTGGCAAAATTACGTTCCGCCCTGGCCGCTTAGCCGATAGCTCGGCGGAACTCGCGGCAAACCAGATACGCCCCAAGGCCTGCCAAGCGACTTGCCTCCAAGTCGCCATCATGATTCTGAACCGCACGGCACTGGAATAGGCGCCCGCTGGCGCTTGAACGCGTCACTACACGTTCGCTGCATCGGTTGGGACATCACTTGGGGCCCCCTCGGCGACGCTGAGCCTGGGCGAACCAGTACTTCTGCATTATAACGCCGCTTGACCTTCTTGGGACTCTTGCCCTGGCCCTTGTCGCCGCTCTGGAACGTCATCTGATCGATTTGCTTGGCAACTTTGGCCTTCCAGCCGTGATCGCTTCCGAACATCACTTTGGCCGGAGGAGGAGCAGGAGCAGGAGGGGGGAGCAGGATCTGTCCGCCCCAGGGGTACCTCATAAGCAATGGTTCGCATTAGTTATCGTTGGAGCTGGGACTGTGTAGTCATCTGCTGGCGTTGGAGCAGGAGGCCGAACGGGGCACGGAGCTGGGGTCGGAGCTGGGGTCGGAGCCTGCGTTGGCGTGGCAGCCAACATGTCCAAATGCCGGTTGTGCACTCGGCCGCCGCGGTCATCGAGCAGGAGCCAGAGTCGGAGCCAGAGTCGGCATGGGGGTAGGCGCCAGAGACGGGAGTCTGAGCAAGAACTTGGGAAGAAGCCGGAGACGAAGCAGGAGTCGGAAGACGAGCCAGAGTCGGAGACGGACTTGGCGCAGGGGTCGAAGTTGGGGGTCGGAGCCGGAGCAGCGTCAGAGGGGGAGTCGAAGCTAGAGTTAAGTCGGGCATGTCCCTCTACAGGGGAGATATTCAAAAATAGTTGTTTTAATGGTCTGGGGACGATTTTTTGAGTATTTTGGAGTCTTTGGGAATATGTCTTGAGTATTTTTTGTTTTTCACCCAAAATCCCCCTGTAGGGGGACACGCCCGACTTAAAGCTAGAGTCGGACCAGGCCGGCATCGGAGCCCGCGTGTCGGTTGGGGTAATTGTGCGCGTCCAGCGGAGTTGGCGTGGCAGTGGAGCTGCGGGAGTCGCCCGTTCCAGTGCCCTGCCCTTTGCCGAGCAGCACGAACTGCGTCATGCGGTATCGAAGAAGTGCGCTGAAGTCGGGCGTGTCCCCCCACAGGGGGATTTTCGACGAAAAATAAATAATACCCCAGAAATATTCCCCAGACGATGTTTTGACTATTATTGCATACTCCTCCTGTAGAGGGACAAGCCCGATTTAAAAGTGCACACATCTCGCTTGCGGAGTCCGCGGATCAGGAGTACTTGCCCGCGTTCTGCCACGGGCAGACGTCCATGGCACAGATGCGGCCCGGGGTCACGCGAGCAGGTGCCGCATACGTCACATCAAATACGTGAGCGACTTCTCGGCTAAGAGTGCGGTGCGATCGATGGTCTCCGTGACGCATACCACCCCACCTCTACCTGTCAAGGCTAGGCTTAAGTCGGGCGTGTCCCCCTACAGGGGGATTTTCGACGAAAAATTAAAAATTCCCCAAAAAATATTCCAAAATGGCAAAAAAAATACTCAAAAAAAAGTCCCCAGACTATTTTTGACTATTTTTGAATATTCCCCCTGTAGAGGGACAGGCCCGACTTAACTCTACCTGTCAAGGCTGGTTAGGCGCGCGTGTGCATGAATTTAGCTATACAAGCACATCCCGCATGGTGGAACACGCCAGGAGGGAGAGTCGGCCGTGGAGTCGACACACCAGCAGTACGGCACGGCTCGCACATGCTGGTATCCGACTCGAGGCGCGCAGGGCGCAAGGGTCGGAGAGGGAGTCGAAACAGGTGCTTTCAAAGGGGGTCGGAGCTGGAGTCGGAGACCGCGCAGGAGTCAGGGTTGGTGTCGAGGCCAGGGGCGGAAGGAAGGTCGCAGACGGAGCCAGACCCGAGAACGAAACAGGAGCTGGAGTCGAAGCTGGAGCACGAACGGGCGTCATAGTCGCAGGAGACAAGAATGAACACTGGCGCACGCTGAAGGGTGTAGATTTACACTTCGTTCTAACGCGTGCTTAGTCACAGGGCATCTGCCATACTGAACAATGGAGTCCTCGGCGGCCCCACCACGCTCCAGTACGCACCGATTGTGCGATGCATGCCTTCGCTGGTGTCGTCCCGGCGCACACCACCTGCTCCATCAAGCGCAGAGCGCTGCACACTTTTTTTCGTCGGCGGCAAAGCAGAGCTGGCTGCACCGGCGCCAGAGATAGACGGGGGCACCGAAGAGCGAGCTGGCCGGCGTGCAGAAGCGGGACAAGGGCAGAGACGACGGCCGCGGCGGGGGGGAGAAGGAAAGACCACTCGGAGGCGGAAAAGTTCTCGCCCGAGCGCGCTGGCGCGGCCCGCCCCGACGGCGGGAACCCATAGAGCTGCGCTGCACACCAGGCGGAGGGACAGCAGAGGAGGGAGGCCGCTGCAGACGCGCCAGCGCCCGACGGGCCTGCCAATGGTAGTTTGAAGTCGGGCCTGTCCCCCTGCAGGGGGACTTTGGGTGAAAAATAAAAAATACTCGAAACATAAGCCCAAAATGCTTCAAAATAGCCAAAAAATACTCCCCAGACTATTGTTTGACTATTTTTTGACTCTTTCGGAATATTTTTGAAATATTTTTATTTTACGTCGAAAATCCCCCTGTAGGGGGACAGGCCCGACTTAATTGTAGTTGTGGGGCTGGCCCTGGTCCTCATCGAAGTCACCAAAGTAGGCCCCTGGAAGCTCCCCCCTGCCCTGCGGCCGCTCGAAGACCTGCGCCACGTCGAACAAGATAGACACCCCCGGCGGGCCCACAGCGCCAGGCTCCGAGCGACAACCCGACAGGGCCGGGCGCCGGATTGCCGCCGTGGCGAAAGGCGGTCTCGACATCCTCCCTGCGGATGCGCCGGTGCCGTTCGTTGGAGGGGAGCGGGTTGCGCTGCGACCGCGGCCGCGACCTGCCGTGGGGGCCGCTCGCGCGCGGGCGCTCGGCATCTGGTCGCTGCGTATGATCGTGGTCGAGCGCTGCTGAGTTCAGTCGTGGTGCAGCTGGCGTTGGTGCCGGTACGGCTGTGGTCGGTTGTGGGTCCTCCGTGGGGCTCGAGTGGGGCTGGCGTGGGGCTCGCGTGGGGCTCGCATGGGGTTCTCCTGGTGCTGGTGCAGGTGGAAGCGGTCGTGGTGCTGCTGGGTTTGGCGCTGGTGCCGCTGGAAGTCGCTCTGGTGCTGCTGGAGTCGAACGTCGGGTGGTCTTTGTGCTGCTGGACTTGGCCGTGGGTTTGCTGGAGCCGGTCTGGGGCTGCTGGGGTTCGGCGTGCTGCTGCTGGAATCGTTCCCGTGTTGCTGGGGTCGGTGGCTGGTTGGTTGGGGTGCTGCTGGAGTTGGTCGCTGTGCTGCCGGCGTCGGCCCAGTGCTGCTCGAGTCGGTCGCAGTGCAGCTGGGGTTGGTCTGGGTGCGGTTGGAATCGGTCGCGGGGCTCCCGTGGGGCTCGAGTGGGGCTGCCACGGGGCTCCCGCGGGATGGGGTTCTCCGTTCGGGCGCGGGGAAAAGAGGAGACTCCTGGGCCGCTCCTCGAGCACATGTTGGTTGAGGGGTTGTTTCCGGAAGGCCTTTGCCGCACGGGAGCTGAGTTCCTTTGCAAGTGGTCTGGGTCAGTGGCGTACTCGCCGGCAGTAGGTTCGACGGCGCCCGCAGCTGCGAAAGATCCCAATGTGATGCGCTTCAGCCGGCTGAGGAGGTTGGTTTTGCGGGTGGTGGTCTTGTAGTCGTGGTCGCCCTCGCCTCGTCGTCGCCGGATGTCGTGGAGCTCGTCTGTGATGCTGTGCCTCGCCAAGGAGACGGCCTGGTGCAAAAGGGCCAGGAAGCCAGTCGTGAAGCATGCACGCATTCGGGCCTTCGAGGCCAAAGAAAGAAGCAATGTGGGTACTCCAGATACTTCCAATACATCTTGTCCACGTTGACCGCCTGCGCGGCCCGGACGAAGCTAAGAGTGCCATTGAACTCGACGTCATTCGTGGACGCTGTGGCGTAGGAAGCATTCCTTTGTCACATTCGCAGAGACCCCGTGTGTATGGTCCGCTTCACCGGCGCGACCTTGCGCACAGGGTTGTCGCAGTCGCGAGGCTCACTGAAGACGCAACCAAGTTCTGCAGCCACCCGTCGTGCCCAGTCGGAGTGGCTGATGGTGCCGATGGTGGCGCGAGCCTGCTTCCGCGCGTCCGTGCTGTCGCGGCCATCATACATGCGTATATGTCCTGATCGTCGTGGGCCGGCTGGCCAAACTTCTTTTGCGTCGGCGGCCAGGCAGAGTCATTGTGCTGGCGGGAGAGCTGACTGACCAGGGGCACCATTGTGGGGAAGTGTGCCACAATGCAAGACGATGGCAAAAACAAGAAAGAACAGAAAAAAAAGGCTGGCCGAACACGGAAGAAAGAGAGAGCCGCGTGCGATGATAGCCCAGAGTCCCTGGACAGGACGCCGCACCCGAATTTGTGGTCGAGCTGCTCGGCTGGGAGGTGGTTGGTGTATACCCAGTCGATGCGGGAGGTGGCAGTGCTGGAAAAGTATGTGCGCCGGTCCTGCTATGAGTCGTGCAAGCCCTTCGGCTGCAACACGTCCTTCAGCGCCTGCGCGGCTTCCATCTCGGCTTTCTGGCCAGTCCAACAGCGACTGGTGGAACACCATCGGTCATGGGGGCAGGGCGCACAGCTGCGATCCCCGGCAGAAACGGACAAGGCATCGCGTGGTGATGCTGCGGGAGCGGTCCCGTGCGAGACGCTCGTTCGCCGGGCCCTCTTCCTGCGGTGAGGCAGAGGGCCCAGACGTCGAGGTTGCCACTCGGGCCATGCAGTCGGAGCCTGGCCACCCTGCACGTCTCCAATTATTCGAGATCCCCGTCCTGAAACCGAGCGAGCTCGTCCAGGAAGCTCCGTCGCAGCACGATACCCGCGCCTGCACGCCTGGCCGAAAGGTGGGACCCAATGGCCGGCACAGCCCGTCGGCGGTGAGAACGCGTCTGCCTTCCCCCTGGTGCAATGCGCTTGGGCGAATACGCCAAAGTCGTGCGAGGCCATGAGCTTCCATACCTGGTTGCATTTTGCCGTCTGCCGCGAGGCCTTCGTGGCCATCAAGGCACCGCAGTTCCGTGAACAGCCATTGACGTTCCCGGTGTGGGGACTGGTGCGGGAGGAGCTCCAGAGGCTGGGGGAGGGGTGACGGGGCATCGCCGTGACCGCTCGCGTTAGGAGTCGAGTCGGAGCGAGCACAATGATATCCTTCACTGGCAAAGCGGCAGCACTGTCGCCAGATCAAGAGTGGGCCGCAAACAAGCTGACGTCACCCGACACTGCAGGTGGAGGCAAGCGGTGAGCTCAGGCCGCCGTGTGCAAGGATCTGCCTAGAACCTCGGCGCGGAAGAGACGCACCCGCAGAGGCGAGCGCGACACGCACACACACACACACACACGCACACACACACACGCACACACACACACACACACACACACACACACACGCACGCACACACACACACACACTAACACACACACACACACACACACACACACACGCTAACCCTTTCCCCCCTACCGGCCCCTTTCTCCCACACACTCTTCCCCAACTCCAGTGCTCGCATTCGTCCGGGACGCCCGGCCTTGCTGTACTCGCATACGTCCGCGAGAAAGTAGTTCATGGGCGGCTTCCCCAGCTTCGACGAGTTGCAGTTCATAAGGTACTCGTGGCTTGTCATGACCTGGACACGCCTCTCTCCTGCTCCTCCCTGCTTTCTCCCCGATCCCGCTCCTCTCTCTCTCATGACTCCCCCCCCCTCCCTCTCCCGCCCGCTCCCCTTCATGCCCTCCCCCCCCCCTCTCTTTCACCCTCCTCTCGCCGTAGTGGGAGAGGGACGGATCTGCCGAGCAGGCCGAATAAGCAAGCTAGCGGCAATAGACGAAGTATATTCCGGATGCTCGCGACCGTGCGAGGGACCGCAAGGTAATTAGGTCCCCTCGGTCTGAGTGGCAGGACGGGGCGGAAAAGGGGAGACAGTGAGCGTGAGGAAGAGGAGGAAGACGAGAAGGAAGAACTAGAGCAAAAGGAGAGGAACAAGAGAACGAGAGAACAAGAGAGAGAGAGAGATGTGAAGGCGAACCTGAGCAGGCGACGAAGGGCCGAGAATGAGCGACGTGGCCAAGCAAGCGGCACGAACAGCGGATGAAGCACAGAGGAAAGAGGGATCGCACGAGCATCGCCGACGGATGCCACCAGACATGAAGGGGCCCCAGGACACACAAATAAATACACACAAATAAAAAAGATTCCCTATATTTTCCCATATTTTCTGGTGTTTTGTCTTCCCCCCCACTTCCCATATTTTCCAATATTTTCTGGGGAATCGACGATTAATTGTGTCTGTGTTTTTTTCCCTCCTGAAGACAGAGGACGAGGTCCTGGTCTGGCGGGCCGACAGGCGCGCGCCGGCTCCGAGCCCGAGGCGCTCCCTGGAAAAAGTGCCACGCGCTGCGCGAACGCTCCCCCGTCCCTTCTCCCTCCTCCCTCCTCCTCCCTCCTCCCTCCTCCTCCCTCCTCCCTCCTCCCTTCTCCTCCTCCTCCCTCCTCCTCCTCCTCCCTCCTCCCTCCTCCTCCCTCCTCCTCCCTCCTCATCCTCCTCCTCCTCCTCATCCTCTTCCTCCTCCTCCCCTCCTCCTCCTCCTCCTCCTCCTCCTCCTCTCCTCCTCCTCCTCCCTCCTCCTCCTCCTCCTCCTCCTCCTCCTCCTCCTCCTCCTCCTCCTCCTCCTCCTCCTCCTCCTCCTCCTCCTCCTCCTCCTCCTCCACGCGCGCGGCACCG